GGTGCTCGCAGTCAGTATAGTAACCATGTTTTTGGCCATTGTCTGCGAAGTGGGATCTAATTACTGGATAAACGTGTGGACATCTGGTAACCACTCTTTGTCGGACACATCCGGCGACACCAACAACAACAACGGCTACTTCTTAGGCATATATGTGTCGGCAATAGTATTGTACGCAATCTTCACACTGGGCTCGACATTGCTCTATAGGGTAGGTCTGGTGCGGGTGTCGGCGCTCATACACAGCGATCTATTAAATAGCGTAATGCGAACTCCGCTCTCATTTTTTGACGTCACCCCAACCGGGCGTATAATAAACCGATTCAATCGAGATATCGAGATGATTGGCTTGCTTTTACCATGGTTTATGTACGCCACTATTCTCTATGGCATGCAGGCCATCACAATCATGGCTGTTATTGTCTACACCATACCCATTATCATTGTTATGATAGTGATTGTGGCCATAGTGTTTGCCATACTTTACGTAAGTATAACACAGTTTTATATGTTTATCAAGGTAGTTTGAATTAAATAATAGCGCCCTATTTTGTAAAGTTTTTATTATAAATAATCAAGACCAATTTTCTATGATAGCAAACTTGGCCCAGTTTTGCTGTGCACTCAAACTATATTATAATCAGTAATATAATTGTAATTAATTGATTATTTTAAATTAATTAACCGATATGTAGCGGATTTCATTGTGGACCACAAGACAACTGAATCGTATGAATTCAATCACTCGATCGCCAATCTATAGCCACTTTAACGAGAGTATCGCCGGCGCCGTCTCTATCCGGGCCTACAAAACAGGCCATACGTTCACCAAAACACTGCAAAAATTTATCGATACTAACCTTAATGTCCAGAAGCATACAGTGGCGGCCAACATGTGGTATGTTATTGATAATTACCATAAGTTAATAATGACAACCAGGGTCATTTTAATCTAATATTTTATTATTAGTGTCAGTATTTGGACGGCGATTATCGGCTCATTCATTACATTCTCGGCGGCGCTGTTTGTGGTGCTGAAGAGGGAGGACATGACACCGGGTTTGGCCGGCTTTGTGCTCATCTACTCGTTTGAGATCATAACCAGTATCTCATGGGCGCTGAGGTTTGTGTCCGAAACCGAGACCGAAATGGTGTGCGTCGAGAGAATCCGCGAATATTCACAATTAGAGCCCGAATTCAGTTGGGATTCGCCGCCCGAGAGCAAACCGCCCGACGGCTGGCCATTGCAACCGAGCGTTGAGTTTATTGACTACACGGCTGCCTATCGACCCGGACTCCAGCCGGTGCTCAAAGGACTCAACTTTAAGCTGGAGGCCGGCGAAAGGGTGGGTATCGTTGGCCGCACGGGCGCCGGCAAGTCGTCCATGACTTTGGCGATGTTCCGCATCATTGAGCCGACGACCGGCCGCATAGTCATTGACGGCGTGGATGTGACCCGAATTGGTTTACACGACTTGCGCTCAAAGTTAACAATTATACCGCAAGAGCCGAACCTATTCGCCGGCACTCTTCGGCTTAATTTGGATCCGTTTGACAACTATAGCGATCAACAATTGTGGACAGCGCTGGAGAGGGCGCACCTGAAGGTACGGATCACTTAGTTTTGTTGCAATACATGATAATTAATGTATTTATGGCTGATTATCAGGACTTCATCGCCGGCACAGCGGACGGCCTGTCGTACGAGATCGCCGAAAGTGGTGACAATCTGAGCGCAGGTCAGCGCCAATTGGTATGTCTGGCTCGCGCTCTACTGCGGGACACAAAGATCCTGGTGCTGGACGAGGCCACTGCTGCCTGCGATCTCGAGACTGATTCGCTGATTCAGTCCACGATTAGGGATGAGTTCACCGGCAGTACTGTATTGACAATCGCTCACCGATTGAATACAGTCTTGGATTACAATCGGGTTATAGTCTTAGATAAGGGAGTGATTGTCGAAACCGATTCGCCCAACAATTTGCTCCAAAACCCCGATTCAGTCTTCTATGGTTTGGCCAAAGAGTTTGGTATTGTTTGACATCATATGTAATGTTAATATAATATTTATTTATTTATCAAATCCAATTAAAATTCAATTAATATTGATCATTGTTTAACATGTGTTTATTTGTGATTATTTTTTCGATTCATCGTAATATAAGTACTTTTAATTACATAACAATTAGTGACAGTAAAATGTTGTATTAGTTTATTTTAAAACAATTTAAATGTAATTATAATTTTGATTACATAAATGTTAAATTAAAATAAACCTAAAATTAAAAAATAATTCAGACCTGAGATATAAATGTATTGAAACAACTCATAGCTATTCATTGGGAATAAGTCATAGCAATAGAAACCGATTTCGGGTCCGCACAACACCTCTACAAATGACATCAATTTTAGCCGATTTTTAATTGAAATTATCGGAGATTTAGATAAATATGATATTAAATAGCGAGGGTTTGGATTTTAACGCTTTTTATACTATGCTTTTCAATCGTTTTCTCAATGAATGTAATGAGTACTTGGATATCAAAGTCCACAACACCTCTACAAATGACATCAATTTTAGCCGATTTTTAATTGAAATTATCGGAGATTTAGATAAATATGATATTAAATGTGGTAACGGTTTGTGAGCGGACTTTGATATCCAAGTACTCATTACATTCATTGAGAAAACGATTGAAAAGCATAGTATAAAAAGCGTTAAAATCCAAACCCTCGCTAATAAACTGCTGTCAGATTTATGTAAAATATAGAGAAACAACTGAATGGCAAATGTCGCCATATAATAGATAATAAATGTAATGCAACGAAAATATACATTACAACCCCTAACCTCCTGTTCCCAAAAGTTATGTTCAATAATTAATTTCATTAAAAAATTACCGTTATTATATTTCATAGCAATAATCATATAATCATTTAATTGTTGAAATTTAGACCTAAATATATAGGCTGTAAAAAGCCATAGAATGAAACCCATCCAGGTGATCGAGAATATAAACCAAAATGTTGGATACAATAGGACGTTATAAATAATTGCAATTATTAAATTACTCATTAATTTATCTTGTTGCAAGCTAAACGATATATAAGTGTGTAGTAAACAGTTTATTATTGTTAAAAATATAATTGCCTGATAAGCCATATAATCAGAAAGGAAGTCGATAGTTTTGCAAAACCGATAGGCGCGTTTAAATAACAATTTATATTTAAATTGATTATATTTAACCTTGTTAACAAAGGTAATAAGATATAATTTGTGCGTGTATTCATGATATAATACGACTAATGAATTGCACAAATGTGCTGTATTGCCGATCGTGAATGCGAGGCATACCAGTTGTTTATCACCAAAATAAGGGCTCACATCGTATAACAATAGCAATACATTCTCATTGTCTACGAATGTTATTAAAGCAAACCTTAAGATTGTCACCAAAAGACATATCCTTACAATTATGGCCGCAATTAGTCGCCATTTCTTCTGATCTCTTCTCACGTATTGATCCGTGTCTTCAAAACTAGCAATGAATGCAATTTTTGCTAATTTCTCTATTTTCTCGATCGACGCGTAAAACGGATTCAATGTTTTATTTCTGTTCAGTATAGCTATGGGCAGCACTTTTCGGGCGGGTTTTCTATTCATAATCATATTGTGTTAAATTAAATCAAATGTTTTTCAATAATTAAACACTAAATGTATTTATTATATACAGTACGCTGTATTCGTTTATTTTTGTTATGATGTTTTTATGTTTCTGCAAAAGTAATTAAACTATTTTTAAATAGTATATTAGCAAATGTACAATAATTGAGGTCATGTGAATTTATATAAGATTTAACTTTAATACACTGTATGTAGACTTATATATTGATTGATTTGATACATTAATAGTATAAAATGTATATTGTACAAAATTATTTTGCGTTAGCAAATGCTCGTTTATATAAAGATCTATGGAAAATTTAAATAATTATTTATAAACTGTAGTCACAATATTTTAATTACTGAATATCGTGTTTTAAAAAGATCATAACGTTTCTAATACATATTGATTATTGCTTGAATTCATTGGAGTTTAATTGAAATGAATTTACTGTAATAGCGTTATGTAGACATTCAATGTCATTATCAGACAATGAAATTATTGGTTTTATAGTTAAATCAATACTGAAATCCCTTATGTGTGCCTGAAACACAGTATTTGAATTATAGTCTTATATTGTGATGGATTATAGGCTCAAAATTCAACCAATATGATGTGTATTGACAAGATCAATATACTAAAGCATTAATTGGGTCTATCTTACATCCAATTGTGCATGGTTATGCTATACGAGTTAAAAGTTAAGATATTATTGTTCATAATGAATTTATCGATTTTTCTATTCAATTTATTAATTTTAAGTTTATAATAATTTTTATTTATAATTAATTCAATTATATTTTGATATTTTATTAAATTACAAGTGCTGTACAAATAAGGACAATTAATTTTAATTATTAACTAATTTATATTATATTATGCTAAAATAAACTTAGAATTAAGAAATAATTAGCGCCAGCGATGTATATGTATTGATACAACTCATAGCTATTCATTCGGAATAAGTCATAGCAATAGTAACCAATTTCGGGTCCGCACAACACCTCTGCAAATGTAATCAATTTTAGCCGATTTTTAATTGAAATTATTGGAGATTTAGATAAATATGTTATCAATTGTGGAAACGGTTTGTGAGCGGACTTTGATATCCAAGTACTCATTACATTCATTGAGAAAATGATTGAAAAGCATAGTATAAAAAGCGTTAAAATCCAAATCCTCATCACTAAACTGGTGTCTGATTTGTGTACCAAATATATCATTAATTGAATACCAATTGTCGCGATATAATAGATATTAAAGATAAGGCAACGGAAAAATACATTACAATCTCTGACCTGTTTTTCCCAATAATTATGTTCAATAATTAATTTTATTAATAAATTTGAATTAATTTTAAGCTTCATAGCTATAGTTATATAATAATTCAATTGTTGAAATTTTGATCTAAATATATAAGTTGTAATTAACCATAGCATAAAACCTATCCAGATCATTGAGAACATCATGATTCCTGTTGGATATACTATAACATTGTATATAATCATAATTGTTAAACTACTCCTTAAATTATTAAAATATATTATAAACAATATATAACCGTGAATTAGCCATGTTATTGTTGCCAATAAAATCGCTTGGTAAGAAACATAATCAGCAAAGTAATTGAGAACTTTACAAAATTGGCGGAGATTTGTAGATGGTAACTTATATTTGAATTGATTGTACTTAAGATTATACAAAAATCTCATCAAATATAGTTTGTTTGTGTATTCGTGATATAAAATCACGATTGAATTGCATAAAAGGGCCACATCTACAGTGACCAGAGATGAGTACACCAGTTGCCTATCCCCTAGATATGGACTAAAGTCATACAATAATAATAATATATTCTCATTGTCTACGAGTGCTGTCAAACCTATCCTAATAGTTGTCACCAAAATACCGATCCTTAAGATTATTGCCACAAATAATCGCCATTTCTTCTGATCTCTTCTCATATACTGATCCGTGTCTTCAAATGTGTTAATAAATGTGTGTTTTATTATTGTTTCCATCTTTTCGATTGAGTTGTAAAAAGGGTTTAATGTTTTTTCATTATTTATTACTTTTATTGGCGACACTTTTTTGTCACGAATTTTATACATTATTTCCATTCAATATTATAGTATTGTATATGAAATAAATTATATTACAATATATTGAATCCAATTATATTATTAAATCCGATTAAATATAAGAATTAAAGCAATTAAAAACTCATTATTTTATAAAATATATGTAGAAATTTTAATTATACGCAAAATTATATGGCATTAAGATCTTTATTTTATATAAATATTTATAACTAAATATAATTGAGAACTTGTGCATAATAAAAGATGTAACTTTAATAAATGTAGACTAATTTATTGGTTGATGTGACTTCAATAACAATATTTCGTGATTAAATATGGTATAATAATTTGTTTTTATGACTTTCAAAAATTTTAATGACCAGGTTTATAAATTTTTATTTGTGGAAATGTACAGTAAATTTCAATATTATTATATTTAAATATAAGATTTTACGAATATAATATAATAAAAACATGCAATTTCTTAATTATCCAATTATATCAATTAATTTTTATATATTTCATTTATTGTATTTTATTATTCAAAATTTTATATTCTCATCAATCATAAATCAAAACGTACTTAAAACTTTACAAAATAAACAATAATTACTGGAATAGCTTAAATATAATACTGTAATTATAAAAACTGTTTTCAAGCATTCGTTTTGAATTATTGACGAATTTATGTTTGTATATTATCTACAATTCAATTACTTTTATAAAATTACTGTATTAAATATAAAAATTTTATATTAAATTAAATAGATGATAATTTTGATTCATTGTTATTAAAATGTTTAATTTTTAAAACTATTGTACTATTGTTTAATATCAACATATAATACAAATTTAAAAAGTTAATCAGTGTTTAATAGTCAACGGCGCGAATACACCGCCGATTACGGGACGATTCTTAAAACCGGGTGAATCGCCGGTAACAGTGTTTGCGTAGTCAGAAAAGGGCACTCGAGTGGGCGTTTCGCGCAACCATTTGGCCGTCCGATCGAACAATGATTGCCGCAGTTTTGTGTTCGTAGACGAGGCGGCCGTAAACATAATCCAATCAAACTTTGTGTTTGCGTTTCCGCTCTCTAATGGCAAGCCGTAGACATTCATCACCTGTTGGTACCACTCGTCCTGTTGTGCGTAGATCTATAGGTATATGTCATAGTTGTTAATCAAATAATTTAACCAAGATTAATATTTAAACAAACCGAATCGGGAACTAATTTGGTGTCCAAAAGGATATCGGCGTATAAGTTATAGATCATAAACCACGTGTTGGCCGTATTGTACGTCATTTTTATGTGTTTATTGGACGGGTCTTCACCCAAACGGATCCATTCGGTGACATATTTCTCGGCTGTCTGTCTGTACTGTTGTTTGTCCGCCTCATTGCCGGTCACTTCAGCCAACTGTGCCATCGCTCCGATGCCTACAATAGCTTTGGCCGAAAGGTTTGTTGAATTTTTAATGTTGTGTAAAAAGTCGTCAGTTGTCAACGCGTCGCCTGTATTGACCGTACGATATGTTAATACAATTTGATTTGTACTTCACTTTAGGAATGAAAACAACTATACCTGTGATCAACCCGTGATCGACCAAATACTGTGTCCATTGTTTGGCAATTTTGTAGTGCTTTTTAGCAAACTCTGTATCATTGGTTGCCCTGACATAGGCTGACATCATGATCAACATATTGGCGCTCTCCTCGACCTCCATGTCCTCCTGGTGCCCGTCTTGATGTCCAATACATTTGGGATAATGTGTTCCCAAGTCATGCATACAATACTTCAATGGGAAGAAACCTCTTTCTTGATTGTCGAGCAATGGCTCCAAAAGGTATCGTAAAAGCGTTGGATTGAGATATAACTGGACGGGAAAGTGGGGGTAAATCACATCCACTGTCTGACAGTTGCCATCGGATGAGATCTCCTTCAACATCATCCACGGCTTGTCAACTGTGCCAACCATTTCCACTCCTCCGTAAGCCTTGTTTGTAATAACAATTATTTTGTGTTAAAAAGGTAAAACACACGATATAAATGTAGTGTTAAATATTTTAAGCCTTTAATGCATTTTATAAAGGCATTTTAATATTAATATTAAAACATCACATTTGTTTGTTTATCACAATATATTGTACTATTGGCAAACATTATTGGGCAAAGCCCTAATATACCTGTCTGAGCGCTGCGGATACGATCCTAACATAACTCTCGCCGCCGACCGCCTGAGCGTCGGTCACAATACGTGTGTCCAGAGCTGTGGCTCTTTTGATGGCGTCCTCTCTGTCCTCATAGAAGAAGTCAATCATCTGTTTGTCGTCTCCATTGAAATAACTTTCCCATAATTGGTTCAGATGTGAGTCCGTGTACTCAATGGCCGGTCGTCTGACGTGAGCGACGCCGTAATACACAGTGTTTGCCGCCGTGCGGTTTGCTCTCGGGCGGCGAATCCCAACTGAATTCGGGCTCTAATTGTGAATATTCGCGGATTCTCTCGACGCACACCATTTCGGTCTCGGTTTCGGACACAAACCTCAGCGCCCATGAGATACTGGTTATGATCTCAAACGAGTAGATGAGCACAAAGCCGGCCAAACCCGGTGTCATGTCCTCCCTCTTCAGCACCACAAACAGCGCCGCCGAGAATGTAATGAATGAGCCGATAATCGCCGTCCAAATACTGACACTAATAATAAAATATTAGATTAAAATGACCCTGGTTGTCATTATTAACTTATGGTAATTATCAATAACATACCACATGTTGGCCGCCACTGTATGCTTCTGGACATTAAGGTTAGTATCGATAAATTTTTGCAGTGTTTTGGTGAACGTATGGCCTGTTTTGTAGGCCCGGATAGAGACGGCGCCGGCGATACTCTCGTTAAAGTGGCTATAGATTGGCGATCGAGTGATTGAATTCATACGATTCAGTTGTCTTGTGGTCCACAATGAAATCCGCTACATATCGGTTAATTAATTTAAAATAATCAATTAATTACAATTATATTACTGATTATAATATAGTTTGAGTGCACAGCAAAACTGGGCCAAGTTTGCTATCATAGAAAATTGGTCTTGATTATTTATAATAAAAACTTTACAAAATAGGGCGCTATTATTTAATTCAAACTACCTTGATAAACATATAAAACTGTGTTATACTTACGTAAAGTATGGCAAACACTATGGCCACAATCACTATCATAACAATGATAATGGGTATGGTGTAGACAATAACAGCCATGATTGTGATGGCCTGCATGCCATAGAGAATAGTGGCGTACATAAACCATGGTAAAAGCAAGCCAATCATCTCGATATCTCGATTGAATCGGTTTATTATACGCCCGGTTGGGGTGACGTCAAAAAATGAGAGCGGAGTTCGCATTACGCTATTTAATAGATCGCTGTGTATGAGCGCCGACACCCGCACCAGACCTACCCTATAGAGCAATGTCGAGCCCAGTGTGAAGATTGCGTACAATACTATTGCCGACACATATATGCCTAAGAAGTAGCCGTTGTTGTTGTTGGTGTCGCCGGATGTGTCCGACAAAGAGTGGTTACCAGATGTCCACACGTTTATCCAGTAATTAGATCCCACTTCGCAGACAATGGCCAAAAACATGGTTACTATACTGACTGCGAGCACCACCGGACCAATGCGTGACACGTAATATTTGTAATCAAGTAATTTAATTGATCCAAACTGTGTGCTCTCGTCGTCCACCAGTTGACCATCTTTTACATTACACTCGTCTATAGTATTGTCTTCTGTATTGTCTTTTAGTAAAGACTTTTGTCGCGACAATTGACGCCTAATTAGCTGACTATCGCTCTCTCGGGATGACTGTCGCCGTACACCACCGTTACCGCCAATGACGTTATCATCGGATCCGTTTAGCACCTGTTCGGTAAGCATTCCTCTGGCGACCAGCGCGTCGTAATCGCCGGCATCCACTATCCGTCCCTCACTGATCACCACAATCTGATCCGCGTCTTTCAAATACGACACGTGATGTGTGGCCAATACGCGTGTCTTATTCCGAAGCAAACCCTGGCGTCCGATCACTTCCCGATACAGGTGTTGACCGACGTGCGCGTCCACCGCAGCCAACGGGTCGTCCAGTAGGTAGAGGTCGGCGCCGGAGTACACGGCTCGGGCCAAACTGACCCTATGTTTCTGACCACCGGATAAATTGATACCCTTTTCGCCGATTTCGGTCAAATCCCGAGCGGGAAGTATAGCAAAGTCCGCGTCCAGAGCGCAGGCTTTCACCACTTGTTGATAGCGTTCGGACTCGTAGTCCGAAACAAAGACAATGTTTTGTCTCAAAGTCTGGTTCTGAATCCATGCCGTTTGCGGCACATAAGCGATGGACTGATTGGCGGCCAGTCGTCGGTCACCTGCCGTTTGATACATGTCTCCCATGAGAGCTGAAAATATGGATGACTTTCCGGCGCCCACTCGACCCACAATCGCCACCAGAGATCCGCGTTTAATGTCCAGCGATATATCTTTGAGTATCGGCTCCGAGTCTCGCGACCACCCGAACGAACACTTCCGCAAAGAGACGGCATTGAATTCATCGTCGATGGATGTGCTGTCGCTGTCAGCGATGGCCACACAGTTGTTGTCCAACTCTTCGCATCGGAGGTATGCGCGGATCCGACGAAACGACACCACAGCCATCACCAGATGTGCGAACGCATCGGGAAGTCTGTCAATAAAAGTGTGTTAGAGAGAAAGAGAGAGAGAGAGAGAGAGAGAGAGAGAGTATATAAGAGGCCGGAAGTGACAGACGCTTGAGATCTGTCGGATCGATAGGAGTGAAGAAGTTTACGACCAGTTCTATGGGTCCGGCGGTGAATGTGAACACCGATTGGGTTGGAGTCACGCGAAGACCCGATTCCATGGCCGGGAGGGTTAGATCAATACCATCGCCGACAGGATTACCCATAAACACATAGGTCTGACTGTCCACCCGAACCATTCCAGCCATTCCCCTGACATATGCCGTGTCCCAGAAACGTGTCCACTCGCCACCCAATTGTCGGCCAGTCATCCAAGTGGACAGGTATGGACTCTTCACCACCAGTGGTACGGCTGGCAATACATCTGTTTACAAATAAGCAAAATATTTGCGTACAATTGTTGGATTGCAAAGTTTTTTAAATTCAAAGCTATTATTTGACAGTATGTATTTTATTGATAACTAATTACTGTACCATAATCGATAGCGTTGACTATTATTAGGCATGATAAATAGATTACTGACTTTGCTAAATAAATAAAATTCATTTTAAATATTAAATATTAAAATATTAATTATAAAATAAGAAAACATTTATTTTTATTATAAAAATACTATTTTAAATAGTACAAAATGCATTACTTTTATCTAATTTTTCAAATAAAATATTTTACTCAAACAAGTAGGATGCGAATTAAACCAGATGTTTAATTGTACAGCGTCAGATTTCATATGAAATCACTGTCATACTTATCTATTATTAATATCTAATTAATACCAATTAATTATTTATTGTACCAGGGTAAATAATTAAACACACTTAAAATTGTAAAAATTTAGATAATGTACTTACCATGCATTTACCAAATGCACTAATATTGCAATAACATTCTAAGAATTTATTACACTTTACTTTAGTAATATTATATTTAATTTTTAACTAAATAACTAAATTATTATGAATTGGTAAATAAAACTTTCCATGTTCATGGGAATATTATTTATAAAACGAGTATGGTGTATTAATGGCCTTATAGTGAACTTAATAACTATATTTTTATATAAAGGTGACGCATTAGTGCAACGTTTCATAATTTATAAGAAACTAGCCAGAATGCTTGTGTACAGCCGGTGAACAAACTACCAACCCTTCTTGTTTTCAATCGCCCTCTATAGTTTTCACTACCCTCCCACCCCCTATTGTATGTAATGCCTTTTTGGCGCTCTTTTTTATGCAGTATTTTTATATTATAGATTAGCTAGAATTGAGAGGTGAAGGGGAGTCGAGATTCTATAACTAGATTCTAAATTGTAGTTAAAAATAGAAGAAAATTCAATAAAAGTGAAATTATTTTAATATTATTTAAGTATTATGTCCATATAATAAATGTGGACATGATTAATCCAAGGTTATTTGAGCTATAGTATGGCTTTGTATCATTTACTTAATTACAAATTACAAATACAGAATGTTATATTGATCGTACAGTGCATATGTTGAGACATGATCTAATTTAATATGGGTTATTATTGTAGGCATTGAACTCCAATCGTTAGACTCTATATTAAAGCAACACTTTGTTTAGATTTGAAATCTATTTTGTGTTTAACAGTTAACGGCGCGAATAAACCGCCGACAACTACACGATTTACCCAACCGGGGGTTACCCAACCCACGCCCGTAACGGTGTTTATGTGGTCGGGAAGTGGCATTCGAGTCGGCGTTTCTCTCAACCATTTGGCCGTCCGATCGAACAATGATTGCCGCAGTTTTGTATCGCCAGACGCGGCGGCCGTTAACATAATCCAATCAATCAGTGTCTCCACACTATCGCTCCCTAATGGCAGTCCGTAGACATTCATCACCTGTTGGTACCACTCGTCCTGTTGTGCGTAGATCTGTATGCATATGACAACCAATGTTAAGCAAGTAGTTAAAGCATGATTTATTCAATTAACAAACCGATTCGGGTACTAGTTTGGTGTCCAACAGAACATCGGCGTATAGATTATACATCGCAAACCACTTGTCGGGTGTATTATAACTCATTTTCAAGTATTTATTGGACGGATCTTTACTCAAACCAATCCATTCTGTAATATACTTCTCTGCGGTTTGTCTGTACTGTTGTCTGTCCGCCTCATTACCGGTCACTTCAGCCAACTGTGCCATCGCTCCGATGCCTATAATAGCTTTGGCCGAAAGGTTTGTTGAATTTGTAATTTTGCCCAAATAAGCGTCGGTTGTTAAAGCGTCGCCTAAATTTATATTAGTAATTTTAAATTAGCAATAATAAATAATTATTTGATGTATTATAAATAATAACTATACCTGTGATCAACCCGTGATCGACCAAATACTGCGTCCATTGTTTAGCAATTTTGTAGTGCTTTTTGGCAAACTCTGTATCATTGGTTGCCCTGACATAGGCTGACATCATGATCAACATATTGGCGCTCTCCTCCACCTCCATATCCAAATCGTGTCCCACCTGTCCGTTGCATTTGGGATAAGTTCCCAAATCATGCAAACAATACTTATTCGGGAATAAATCCCTTTCCTGATTGTCGAGCAGTGGTTCCAAAAGGTATCGCAAAAGCGTTGGATTCAGATATAATTGCACCGCAAAGTGGGGGTAAATCGCGTCCACTGTTTGACACACACCATCATTCAACATCATCCATGGCCTGTCAACTGTGCCAACCATTTCCACCCCTCCGTACGCCTAACCCATATGTATTAAATAAAAAGTAATAAGGTATTATTATTGTTTAACTGGTTTTTGATTCTCACGTTTTACTACTAATAATTCAAACAATAATTTATATTATTTAAAGTATCTTATAATACATACCTGTCTGAGCGCTGCGGACACTACTTTAACATAACTTTCTCCCCCCACCGCCTGAGCGTCGGTTACAATACGTTTGTCCAGAGCTGTGGCCCTCCGGAGGGCATCCTCTCTGTCCTCGTAGAAGAAGTCAATCATCTGTTTGTCGTCTCCATTGAAATAACTTTCCCATAATTGGTTCAGATGTGAATCCGTGTACTCAATGGCCGGTCGTCTGACGTGAGCGACGCCGTAATACACAGTGTTTGCCGCCGTATGAGTGGTGCCGGCGGTCAGTGTCCGCGCGAACCCAATCCCCGGCCAATTGTCCGACACTTTGCGATAATTTCTGTTTACAGTATTGTCCAGTTTACCGGTTTTCACAAACTTTGAGCGCATAGTATCGACAAAATTGGCCTAAAAATGCTCATAAAATGTTGTAAAATATAATAAATAAATATAATAAATTTTGTATTTCATTTGTATGAATACCTCATAAGTGGCGGTCGATTCGGTGAAGAACTTAATGGTTCCCCATTCGGGTAATTCTGATGAATAAAAATTATAATCAATAATTAAACAAATTTTCCAAAAGTATTTAATATTTACCTTTATTTTCATGAAACTTTTTTTCATTTTTGAGTTTAAAGTTACCATTAATTAGATTTGATTTGCCCTTCACTTCGCGTACATCCCATTCAATAACTTGGTTGAGATCACTGGTAACCCATTCTCCAGTCATACCCAGATAGACTTGAACTTCATGTGTCTTGTGATCCACAGATCGGGCGCTCATTGATATATAAGAGGCCGGAAGTGACAGACGCTTGAGATCTGTCGGATCGATAGGAGTGAAGAAGTTTACGACCAGTTCTATGGGTCCGGCGGTGAATGTGAACACCGATTGGGTTGGAGTCACGCGAAGACCCGACTGTATGGCTAGGAGTATATTTTGGTGAGCAATATAGTGAGCGCCCATAAACCTATAGGCCTGACTGTCGACTCGAACGAATCCCGTCATACTTGTATGGGCTCCGGTGTAGAATCGGGCCCAATCGCCGGACAATTCCCTGCCAACCAACCAGGTGGACAGGTATGGACTCTTCACCACCAGTGGTACGGCTGGCAATATGTCTGTAGAATATTTTGATTTTAGAGAAATTTTATTTTAAATAAAGTTTAATTAAATTATAGTATAATTATTATACTCACCATGTATTTTTTTAAACGTTATCGAATTCACCATTAAACTGTACACGTCTAACCTTAAATCCCTTAGTTCATTTTTTGTATCAACTAGGTCATCTTTTAGCGCATCCCGATCGTGTTGAGTGGCATTTAATAGACGTCGCAAAGCATCTAGCTCGTCGCTGAGCCAATTGGTGCGGCGGCGCGTAGCCATCAAAATGGGCTGCGATTGTTGATACGTCCAGTACTGTAGCCGTTGGCAAAGCGCAACCTGTGCTGAACCGCACAACACGTTCGCCCACTGGCCGTCTGTTTCTACCCTTCCGGGCGCTAAATACCGAGATTTCATTGTCACGCAATCATAGCCCGGAGTGTCCGCGGGCTGGCCCGACAGCCACCGGTTGTACTCCATGTCCGTACCGTCGGTCCACTGGAAATCGGTGCGCGACCGACGACGCCGTCGGGCGCCGATCCATACGTTGGTCCCGTCGGCGAAAACTCCGGCTAAATAGTGGGTTAGAAATGACTGCTCGTCCGCCGTATGAATGGTGGCTAAAGTGGTGCTAAACGGCAACGCCTGGAGTCCGGCGCAGAATTCAACGCTCTGGGCGTATGTCATGGGAGGCGTTGTGTTGAACACACGGTAACACTTCTCGTCCCGATAGGCGACCCAACCCTCATCGCAAACGTTAGGTGTGGCTATTTTTGGTCACATAAATTAGTTGCAAAAATATTATATTGCATCTTTAAAATGAGTTAACATTAATTTTACCTGTAATAATATAGTAAAATATTTGAAACAAGGTAAATACAAATAATAATATTTTTGTTTTCATGATAAATCTAAATGTGATATATTAATATTAACTTTTTTATCACTTAAAATACACTATAATTATTTGATTACACGGTTGGTTACATTTGTGGATAATTATTTCATTTATTAAAATATTATTGATTTAAATTAAATGTAAATATTTTTAACAAAAGTCAATATAACAAATAATTAGTTGTAATAATATTAGTACTCATGATTTGGTTTACATGCAAGATCATTTACAATTGAAGATTAAAGGAAATGGAGTAATAATTAATTTCCCTCTTATATTTCTGAGAATCAGAAACTAATAACCAGTTTCTCTCTCTCTCTCTCTCTCTCTCTCTCTCTCTC